GTTCCTGGCTTACATACAAATTCGACTTAAGGACAGACCTTGGGAACAGAACTTGTTCTTAAGCTGGGGACTACCCATATTCTGCAGGTAACACTATCTGACCTGGAGATACCCTTTCATCCTTCTTAAAATTACAGTAGCTGTATGAGTTGTCAACTTGTGGCTTTCTCAGAGTGTCACAATCATTACTTGCTAACCTGGCATAAGATGGTCCGACATGCCCCTCTGCGAGATGACGAAATTTGAGCAAGTTTTCATGTTCTAATTGCTTGACCTGAGTTTCCAGTTTTGAGACTGTTCTAAAGCAGAGCAGAAAAATAATAAATTTTACCAATGTTGGTATATTATTCCAGTTCTGGTTGCTAAAATGGACAGCTAATTTTCTAAAGCCTGTTGCAAATGTAATGATTGGGTTGGATCATTCTTCCATATTTGGTGACCAAGATCTAAAGCTCAACAATTCTGGAAAATGGTATATATTGGAATGAAACAAATGTTAGAAGTTGAATTTCCTTTTCAACCTGCAGTATTTTGATTAAACTGATATTGAAGAAGAAAAAAAATAATCATCTTTATTGCGTTTCTATAGCCAGTCCCTAAAACACTTGGATACATAAAACTGATATTGATGTTATTCACAATTAATTAATGAAATACTGAAAAAATTTCTGTAACACTTGCAAATTCCCTATTTATTCAACTGTACCCTAATTTTTTAATCCCTTCTTTTTTTCTTTACTTATCTTTTTTTTTAAAAAACAACTGTTTAAAAAGAAGAAATCTTGCAAAAGAATCTAAAATGAAGTTCTTTGCTAGATCTGATTCAGCAACTCTGCTGGTCAGAACCCTCAACGCCGACACGGTTAACATATTTCATGAGGTGGGAGGGACTAGTACTTTTCTTGATTATTAAATGGTATAATTTTACCTTTTCAAATCAGAAATCTGAGTGTGTGCATCAAGTAATTTGTTCTCAGTAATATTCAAAGAATCCTGTGGGAAAGAAAAAAAAACATTTGCGCATTAAAGGTAATGTAAACACTGATTTTACTAATACTGAACGATTTAAGTGTCTCTCTTCCACTCAGCTAAGGATTAATCCAACTTGTCTTCAGCTCCCCTGGAAAAAGCTTTCCTAAGGTTTCTCTTTTTGGTCCTCGGCAAATAATTAATCACATATTTGGAATCCATCTGGATTGTTCCCCTCTCCACCCTGGCTGATTAACCCCATGTCTTTTTGAGGTGGATGTCTCACTACATTCAGCTTTCTTCACCCGCTTGAACGGTTCTCTGTTCTAAGCCCTTTGGCAGAGGCGCACTTAGCTGGCTCCTGTCCACTGCCTGAGATAACACGACAATCTGAGTCATATAAATAAATGTATAATGTATTTATAAGTCTAATGTGTGACAAATTCAGTTTACAGGATGGGACTGATAATCCCTCTGAAGCACAAACATTGAAAGAAAATACACCTGCTTTTATTAATGGTTGATGAACCTCTAGAGCCCATTTGGGTTTTGATCCTTTTCACCTAAAAAACGACTCCGTTATCATTCTGGAAAAACATGCTGCTCACCTTAACTTGTTCGTGCTCCTTCCCAAGGGATTCATATTCTCCCAAAAGCTATCAAGAAAGTAATATTTTTGTTACTGATTTTTCAGATTTCAAAAACTCACTGAAATAAAAATCTAGTTGGCACAAATTCCAGTATCAGGTATATCTATCAAACCAGGATTTAAGCAAATTCAACCTTTCATTATTGTAACTTATTTCTAGTTGATAATTTAAAAAAAAAACCTTCAGTCTTACAAATTAACACACAGGGTGATCAAGAAGCACCTATTTAATAAGAGAAGACTGAAATGAATCTGAGCTAGAAGAAACAGTAAAGACCTGTTTTCTCCATGGGTGAAAATCCCCACCCAGCTACTTGCAGTTCAACAGGGTACTTCCACAATATACTTTATGTTAAAATGCCCTTTTTTTAACCTTGTTTTTTTTTAAGTGGAGAGAACTGTCATGGAGACACAGGCATTTTATTCAGAGTCAGTCAAACAATCATCACGGTTAGGTAGCTTCCCCCTGTGTGGCTTTAGAAAGATCATGTCAGCTAAAGTACTTGGTCTGTAGCCCCTTTGAGTATGTTCTGGACAATTTGCAGTATGCATTCCAAACCGTGATAGCCCAGGGCAAGGCTTGGTTTACCCAACTTACATTTTGAAACATTTTATTTTCTTCCTTTAATCTGGCATCTTTGTTATCAGACAGCTTGTAGGCTTTTTCAAATGCCTCTTCCAGATCTTTAAGTCTTCTCTTGAGGCGACTGATTGTGTTATCTTTGTCCTTGCTACTCGTGCGCATTTCTTCAATGCGCTCCTGCAAGGACTTGGTTGTATTGTTGATGGCACAGAAGCGCTCTTGCCAATCTGTCTGGAACGTGAACAGGCCAACAGTCACACAAAAGTAGAGCCCATCAGATGACTACACTGAAATTGTAAGCAGAACAAACCATAACATTTGACAGAATAAGATGCAGGTTTCAGCCAGCCTATTTCCCATAAATTTACCATGGGTTTTCTTTCTAGGAGCATACATAACAGATGAAGAATCTGATCTAGTTGAGTGCAGCCCAGCACATTTAGAGGATTCTCACAGGGCCCAAAAAAGTCATTTTCCAGGATGTGCACTCTAGCAACTCAACATGAGACTTCAACATGCACCTCCCAGACTTCTGTTCCCCAGATGCCAAGCCATCTCATTTGAAGAAAATTGCTCTTCCTCTCCCAAAACGTGGGAGTCCTCAATGCCCATTCTACCTAAACATGGCTATGTTTTGGCCCTATCTGCCCACCACTTCAGTGCCAGTTCATGACCATGAAGAGACAGTTTGAGTTATGCTGTGTGCCTTCTAAGGATCTTTTCATACAGCTGAACTACTCCATCTGAGACATAAGATACACTTACTACTTCCATCTCTAAGGCATTGTTTTTATTTTCAAGGAATCGCACATGGCTGTTGGCTTCATGCAGAGCAGCTTCTAATTTGTCGCACCTAAAAGTTAAAAAGAGAGAGCCATTAAGTGTAAATATACATATACATATATATAAAATTCACATTTTTAGGTGAACTGCTTAGCTGGATCAGTGGCCAGAGGTCAACGCTCACTAGAAAGCCTTGATTGTAGACAATGCAATCCTCATTTCCAAAAGCATGTTAGTCTTGCTGCCCAAAGAATTCCTCCCTGCTCCCAAATAAATCTGTAAGTTACTATGGGGAGAATTCTCAGAGCAACTGTAAATGTATTTGAAGTACAGCAACCCTTCCTGTTTTATTCACAACTTATCCTTCATTAACAAATATCCTAAGAGATTCTCTAAACAGCCACTCAATTTTCATGTGTCAAAACTGAACCCAGGAACATTCAGAAACATTTGTCTCCATATAGTATCAATTCAAAAGAGATGAAAAAACAATATGCACATTATTCCACACAACTCAGCTAATACCTGTCTGTAAGATTTTGACTGATTTTCTTCATGTCTTCAGAAGGAGAGGTTTGGCTCGCTTCTAGTTTCTGCTTTAGACTGAGAATTTCGGACTCATAATAAGCTCGTAGATCAGCTATATGCCGGGTATGTTTTTCCCTCAAATTCTGCCTAATCCTGAGTTTTAAAACATGAAGAACAAAACATTTAAAACCTTTGCAACTTTATTGGACAACAATGTTTCTGAGGCAGAAAATGACCTTATTGGTACTTCAAGATAACAATTTATGGGAAACACATGAAATTTGCCTGCCAAAGGTGGAATTCTTTTCTTCCTTAAAAATCTTTATGTACACTATAGAAACTACAGCACAGTTCCCCTGTTTAATCCACTGAATTACAAGCCCCAAACAATTATATTTATAACTACTTTTGATCTCTTATTTTCTACTGGAAATGCTGTCATTATTATACGCTACCCAGAGATTATAATAGTGTGGGGGCAGCAGAAAATGGCCATTACAGTAAATAAATACCTGGTTACCTAGTTCTCAGTTTCTTAATGCTGCCACATGAATTATCTGGTCCAAACTGCATGCTTATTTTCCTCCCTTTCCTATATATGACTATGCAAAATATCAAAAGTATACCACAAGTCAGAGGATAGGCTGACTGTGTGTGATCCACTTGTTTTTAACAAAACCCTAATTTGCACCAACTAAAATGAGCAGCAAAGTAGGGTAAAGAGGTAGAGGTAAAACACTGGGAATGAAAGCCTTTTGCCAACATAAGACACCAGCTTTATAAGTGCAGAGCATGGGAAACAAGAAACTTAACGTATCTGTCACCCCAAAATGTTTACCAATTCAGATACACTTGAAAGGGGAGAAAAGGAAAAAAAAAATCTCACAATCAAGCTTTCTAGCTTAGTCACATAGTGGCGACTCTTATTCATCACAGATGAATAGGAGGAAGGAGCGACTGATCAATCTATAAAGCGATTAATGCCTTTATGTAACTCCACAAAACCTTTTATGAAAGGAACACCAGTTGGAAATAACTGGACATTGCAATGCTTGTTTTAAAGGCAACGTTCTCACTCGCGATTGTCTTACTTGGAGAGCACCACAGGATCTTCTACGCAAGCAACTGAAAGATCATGCCGTGCCAAACTATGATCAGCAGATGGAACCAGGCACTGGGCTGCTGAAGATGGCGTGAGGGTTGAGGTGTCTTCGTCCTCCATGTCTAAGATCTCATTGCTCAGATGGGGAGAGCTGGTGATATTGGCTTCATTCTGAAACTCACAACTACCCCAGGAATCTACGTGCAAGGCTGCTGGACGAGAGGCGTATTTTGGAAGCTCAGCAGACCGAGGTGACACAACTGTGCTCACGTGAGAAAACGAATCCGCATCCGAAATAAGAGAAAAAGCAGGATCCGCCATAGAATCTGGAGAAAATGAAACTCTGTCTGGGCTATCGTAGAACCTGTGCAAATGCAGTCCGGCATTCGGTTCACCTGGTTTCATATGGAGCGTTGGGTCCAGGGTAAGGATCTGGGAAACAGACATCATGGTGACTGGAATCAAAAATCAAAACCCAACTAATAGCAAATCATTTGCTCTGGCAAAGAGAGATGAGGTGGAGTTGATCGGAAGATAAATTACGGCTTTATCTTGTCAGGAGTGGGTGGGTGGGGAAAGAGGGCAAACGGAATTTCTGCAAAATGCAGAACAATTCTAATCACCGTGTGTAGAAATCTAGTTGTGATCCTCCACTTCCACAGCCTTGCCTGTTCACTGTAGCAAGGATGGCAAAGGGAATGGGGACTTTTATTTATTTCTCACTTTCCTTCCATGGTCTCCCAGGCTACCCCTTGGTAGATTTACACCTGCAGATTTCTGCAAAGGGACCCCAGCAGCACTTGTGCTGGTCTTCTGTGTAAAGTTTTGCAGAAGACGTGTATTTCCACTACTCCTTAGCTGTGGCCTCCAACAGGTCTTAAAATTCCTGCATCTGCTGCTTAAATTTGGTGAACCAGGTTGCAGTTTCCGGCCTGAAAATATTTAGCTTTTGTCAAATACGAGCCACCCTTGGTTAGCAACCCTTGATGAAATTCTTGCTGTTTTGTCCTCCTGATGTTTGTGAGAGAGAGAAGAGTCAGCTAATAGGCTAATCACAATTAGGAGACAGTGTCAGGAAAGATTTCGACTATGTTTTGGAGTCTGGAAAAGCATGGTCAGTTGGAAGTATAAGAAAGGACTGAAGTTTTCAGTGCAACAGGCAGAACTAAAATACAGGCCATTACCTCTGGGGGATGAGTCGAGTGCAGAGGGGAGAAGTTCCAGTCTATAAGTTCCTTATCTTCCTGCTGTTTCTTATGATAAATATCCTTTAAGGACGTAGGCTTCAACTCATTACTGGAAGACAGCTGAGAGTAAAGAATTAAGGTTGATAGTTTAAGCAAGGCCTCTACTATATTTAATATAACGATGAACTATATTTTTACATGGGAATATACAGTGTTTTGGGAAGAGGGGCAAACGGGATCATTTCAGTCATAGGACACCAGTCACTGTATGGAAATGTAGAGCTTGGAACACACAGCAGCTTAACGCCAAAAGGGGAGAGCAGAATTGCTGTCTCTTGTCCCATCATGCTTCAAATAATGAGCAAGCAGTGCCAGCCAGTGGAGCGGGGGCAAGGGGGGACTGAAAAAAGCATTCAGCAAAGCAGGGGAAAAGAAAAAAGAAAAAAGCAAGCAATACCTGTTCTGAGGATGCCTTTGTTGAGAATACAGGGAATTCATTTCCTAAGTTCCGAGGCAAAGTCTGATACATCTCCTTCTCGTCTAATTTCCAGTATGTCAGCCCTACGGAATAAAAGAGCTATCTCAAAATTGATTTATGAATAGCAAAGAGCTGGGAAACCACTTTAAAAAAATTACAGAATGGGAAAATTTCACTGCTTTATGAAAGACTCATAGCCGAAATACTATGCTTTAGAGCTTTAGCACTAACAGGGTTTGACGTGCCGTATAGCTAAAGATAGCGTGTTAATACTGCAGAGAAATCTGAGGCAACCAGTGCCAACCCCCCTCCCCCCAAAAAAACAATGTAATGAGAACGTTTATCCTTTACAACAGTTCGGCAGGAAAGATGGCCTTTACCCTGGGAATTTCTCCATCCTTCCAGCTAAAACAGCCTTCCCTGCAGCCTGATTCAAACTGGCACGCTGGTTCACTAAATCGGATTAAAGCATTGGTTTCCTTGTACTTTACATCTCTGCTTATTGGAAGGCAGAGAGGCAGAGCTGCCAGAAATAGAATCAGAAATACATTCTATTCATACAAATTACATTTAAAAATCCAACAGCACCCCTCTCATAGTTCCCGCCACACTAATCATTCAGGCAGACTTTGGTTGCAGAAAAATACAAGGATTTGGTAGTCTTGCTATTTTACAGGCAGACTAATCCAAAAAGATTCAGGCCGATGGCAACAGAGATACCTCCCGTTGGAAACAACAGACACCTTGGGACATCAGACTTAGCCCCATTTGGAACAGAGCTGTTCTGTTGAGTGCTGAAGTCTTATTGAACTCAGTAGGACTTAAAGCATCTTTGTTTCGGAATACGATCCCCCAAACTGGGTTCAGAACTTTCCTGGCTCTTCTTATACTCTGCAGCTGTTTCAATAGACTAGCCTGAAAGTTAGGAGAAATGCACCTAAGGCTAGCCAGGCTAAAACGTTACGCTTTGTGACAAATCCGCAACGCTCACAATAAGTACAAAGGAACACGTTTGGAATCCACTATACCTGAAGAAAGAGACACTAAAGAATTTTGGCTTCCATTTTGCTGATTGAGGTAAAACGGAGAAGGTGATGGCGCAGCAGCAGCAACGGGATTGGCCTGTAATTCCACAGAAGGGGGAACGAGAACACCAGTGATTCATTGGCCAAAAAATAAAACCTTGCCTCACTTACTGAATGCAAAAAGAATAATTTGCCCCAGCAAACTCAGAAAACTATATGTCTGTTCCTGCGATAATCCCATTGAATTCAAGAGCGCTCACTTCCAGTTAATCATCGGTAAGATTGCAGGCGGAGGTCATCTATAGTTCCTAACTAAGAAAGGACTGACATTCTGGCCAGGATTTGAAGAAATGAGCCAGTGCTGCCATATGTGGAAAGGGGTTTAAGGCCTGCAATTCTTTAGCAGGATCATTACAGCCCACAGAGCAAATCACCTCTGAATGTAAAAACATCTAACAAAGGACTAATTTCACTATTTAAAAAGGGAAGGGAATGCTGAAAATACTGCCGGGTGCATACGCTTGCCCACACCTAAATTAACCTCTTTAGATCCCTAACAACCGGGCAGTGCAATCCTATACCACCACCACGATGGCTGGGGAATTCTGGCGGGTGAAATCCACACATCTTCAAGTTGTGGAGGTTGAGAAACACTGCTATACACGTTCGTTCGCAGCTGCACAATTTCATCTGGGAGAAAGGATTTCCGAAAGAACAGCAACTCTCTTACATTGTCAACTGTTGGCTCTTTTCCCGGCACACCTTCTTCTTCCATGTTTGTTTTTTTCACTTGGTTTTGTTTTAACTTTTGAGCCCATGATGTCAAAGGTTTACTATACAAAAAGAAAATAAAACAGGGTAACAGTGAATAAAAATAGTGGCTCGAGCACTACAATTTTGGATGGATGGATGGATGGCTGGGCAGAATCCTGCACTGTGCAATAAAGTGTACTCCTACTCTCTGATGGCTCTGTAAGACAAATTTCAAACAGTTCTGCACCCAAAGATGCTGTAATAATGAAAATCTCCAGCCTTCAGACTCTAAACTGATTTCCCACATTGTGAGTTAGGTAAAAAAAAAAAAAAAAAGGTTCCTAAAACAAATATATTGGTTTTTGCTAGTGCCACAGTATTTCATATGTTTGCTTTCCTTCCTAAAAGACTGTCCCTAATCATGACAGTGTTGTATATTATTCCACATTCATGTCTACTTTCTGAGAAATTCTGAAGGCAGCCTTGGATTAATTAAGAAGAAACTCTGTTGACACAACCTTGAGAATTAAAAACCAGAGTATTTATAAAGCACATTCTCAGCTTCTATGGCACTCTGTAAGAAAGAACGTTGGGTTGAAGGATCAGAAATGTGACAATAATATGCTGTCAGGCCAGTATTTGACTGGAACATATGTGGTCTGGTTACAACTCTGACAGGGAAAATCTCACTGTGCCTCTACTTACATAAAGATTTCAAGGCAACAGTGATGGAACCATGGAATTGTTCAGGAACTTCAAGAAAACAGTGAGTCATTACTCCATTTCCTCCATTTAAGGCAGTGTTTCTCAACCTTGGCAGCTTGAAGATGGGTGGGCTTCAACTCCCAGAATTCCCCAGCCAGCCCTGGAGTTGGTCCACGCATCTTCAAGTTGCCAAGGTTGAGAAATACTGATTTAAGGGAACAAAATGCATGCTAGGTGACAAATAGGCGGCCCAGCCACCTTTGTAAACTGCATTGTATCTGTTAGTAACAGAGTAAAAAGGCATGTCTGAAAGCGGGGAACTAAACAGCTTCCTTTAAAGATTAACCTAATGACTCTAATAGTATCACTTACCAGTTTGGATCCCCACGTTGGCTTTCACTAATCTTATGACCAAGTTGAGCAGGAAATTCTCTGTCATTCTCCTTCAGTGGTGGACAACGTTCTATCGTTGTTTGTGAGCATTCCCTTTTGTTCTGAACGCTGGCCGCCACTAAATCCTCCGGTGCTGGTGCCGGACCGTTCTCTTGTTTGGTAATTGTCTCTGTGTTTTCCATGCATGTCTGAATGTCATTACATTTGCTAGGACTCAGTTCTGCAGCGGACAAGGTTCCATACCCGCTGCTTACTGAAACACTGTGTGCAAGGCCCTCCTGATGCATGACTGAAGCTTCTGCCCGATTCTCAGCATTGTTGGGTTTGAACTGACTGTTAAAGAGCTCATTTTCTTCAAAAAGTTCAGACTTCAACCCCATCTGACTTTCTAACGAAGAGAAACTGTCTGAAAGTCTGATCGAAGAGCCTCGCTGGGCACACGAGCACACATTTTGGTTCTGAAGTTTCACTAAGCGTCTGATTTCGTTTTGTATGCGCTGGAAAGAAAATCACGAGCTGGGCTTTAAACAAATGGGGAGCATTTCACAACTTGCACAAGAAGAGCCACGTGTTCATCATTTTCACAGGAGCATTCATAGGACGTTTTAACATACACACATAACATGCAGAAATGTGTTATGGTACGAAAATGAACACCTAGAAATTTGTTCTACTTCTGTTTTTAAAAGACATGCATGGACACATTCAATGTGGCTTGTCTGAGACAGTGTCAGACATCCAACATAATGTTGCAGAGAAGTATAAAGGGAAAAGAAGAACTATCCATCTAGATGGCCTTAAATGAAAGAGGGCAATCTGAGTGTTGTGCTGGTCTGGCATGCTTCTCTCAACAAAGAACTGTTTCTAATCCTGCAAAGATGATCTAGTAGAACATCCGTGAATATAAACTTAAGATCCAGAGTTCTTAGTTTTCCTCTTTTCCTTCCTGAGCAGCTATTCTATCTCCAAGCAGATGACTAGACAGAATCTGTAAACCAGTGTTTCTCAACCTTGGCAGCTTTCAGAGGTGTGGACTTCAACTCCCAGAATTCTGGGAGTTGAAGTCCACACATCTAAAAGCTGCCAA